GAAGATGCAGTTTACAAGAATGAAACAAATTGACATGTATTTTCACGTTCATAAGATAAATGATTACAATAATTGCAGTAATTACAACAGTATTGAAATAAAGCAGTAAAGGAAAGCAGCTAAAGGAAAGAAAAGACATGAAGAGCCAAGTCAGTTTCGTAGTGAAAGAATAAAAGACAGTAAATAAAGCAATTAATGAGATAGTAAAGTCACAAGCAACATGCAATGGTAAAAGCCTAAAGAATTTCCCCAGTAGAGTCACCATGTTGTCGACGCCCCCTTTTTCTATGGGTCAAAATCGGGTATACGACATTGGGAGGACAACTCTATTCCCTTTCGAGAATTGGGTTTAGAAGTTGAAGAGTTGCCACCTAATAATTATAGTGCATTAGGACACTTTTAGAAGAGTTTGAGATGAAGAGACCAGAGATTAGGGTAAGGGCTAGAAATTATCCCGAGGGGAAGGTGTTAGGCACCCCTCAGGATCCACAAGTGTGGTTCCCGGCCATGCTACAATTGTGACTTTACAAGTAAACAATCAAGGCTCAAATAAGGACTTGCATACAACATTGCAATTAGGTTGAAACTTATGAAAGTAAGTAGAAAGAGAGCAAGGATTTGAAAAGTTTAAACAACTCTAAAGGAAGCGAATAAAGAAAAGGGGTCCTAGGTTTGTGATTAATATGGATCACTTCAATGCAATATCCAGTAATCACTCCTCAAAAGAGGGGTCGCACGTGATATTAGCGCACCGGTCATCATATCCATATCTACCCTTCCCAACCCGTTAAGGTATTAAAGCGCGGAAAGGTATCGTTGCTTATTGCATGCTATTACCCGTCTCAATCTTGTCAGTCTCAAAGGCATTGAGACTAATAATCCAAAAGGGGAGGGAGTTGGGGCTTGTTCAGAGTTTTCAAAAGGATAAAATCTAGGCGACAAGCAATAACAAATAGCAATTAAAAGGGGAACAAATGGCAGTTAAGGCTCAAGTAGGCCTCCTCATTCAAAGCAGCAGATTGTTTAGCATGACTTACAAGTACTGGTTTGGTCTAAATTAAATTAAGACGTAGGATGGGCTGATTCATCATATATTTCTCAGATGAGGAGTCCGAATTAGCCTTGTCTAGATGTAGTTATCAAAGACTGACACAGTTAATTAATCACCTAATAGTTTGCCTAGGTGAGGCCTAAAGGCATGACATCTAATAGAGCTGTATTGATTTTAAGGAAAATGTTGCTGACTTTATAAACAAAGATCTCTAGACTTTAAGACTGGTTTTAGATTCAAAAACGAAACTGATTCAGTTAATTTGATCCTATAGGAATGATCTCTAAGTGTCATTGGTTTTAAACAGTTGCAAGAATCCTATAGACATGATATCTAGAATGAATTGGTTATTATTAAGCCTAAGATCGTTGGCCTAATGGCGTGTATATGCAGAAAAAACCTAAGACATGATTTTATATGCAGAATCTATAGGCATAATCTCTAAAATGCATAAATGCAGAAGTGCAGAAAAAACTTATAAGCATGTTTTCTAAATGCAGAAATGCAGAAGTTGCAGAAAGACTATACGTATGTTTTCTAAATGCAAAAATGCAGAAGTGCAGAAAGGCTATAAGCATGTTTTCTAAATGAAATAATGCAGAAGTGCAGAAAGGCTATAGGCATGTTTTCTAAATGCAGAAGTGCAGAAATTGTAAATAACCTATAGGCAGTTTTCTACCCTTTGCATGCATTCATTCCCCTCTCTTTCCACTAACCATCCCCAATAGTTTTTTACATATTATTACAGGCCCGAATGAATTAGAAAAGAAAGCAAACTTACATCAAAAGTTCCAGCTACATCTAAACAGCCTAATTCAGACTCAAAGTCCAACAATATGAGATAAACTAACTTCCAGGATCCGATTTCCAAAAGACTTTCTCATATTTGGGGTGTGTCAAAGTTTCCAAGAGTCTCAAAGGGACTCCAAGCAGTGCTTACACCCCAGAACCTTGCAGAATTAAGAACATGGTGCAGTGTGGAAATGTCATCCCTCAGATGTCCAAGTTCAGAAGGAACTCAAGGTCCCAAAGCAAGGCTCACAAGAGAGGGGCAGAACTTAAAATTCTAAGAATAAGTGTAAGTGCACAGGGGAAGGGAATCAGGGAAAGCCATGGCAGGCTGGTGGTCATACCCAGTAATTTGGAATGCTGGCACACCCCTGACCAGCCTGCTAATCAAACATTGAGAGTTAGGATCCATTGTGGATCAGGTTATGGCCAGGGCAGTAATTAGGATATTGTCAGACCAAGACCTTAACTCAGGCACATAGAAGGGAATAGGGGTAGGGATTCATAACAGAAACAGAAGTAAGGAGGGAAAATATTTAGCATAAATTACTGAATATGAGCATTAAACAGTCTGAAACTACAAAGTAAACACATAGGAGTGAGGCAGAAAATTATATAAAAGACATATCAGTTTCAAAGGAAAATAAGTAAGAAAAAGTAGCCTTGAGAGAGCCAAGTTGTAAACAACAATTCCAAAAGATCTCAAGCAAAGCAAGATTTAAAACAGTATTGCAAGAAAGTGTTTTTGTTCGTATGTATTTCAGTATGTGTCTGTATGTTTTTTTGTAAAGAGGGAAGACTAGGTCTTTATATAGTTTTGAAAACAAGCAATACATAGTCAAAGAGTGTACAAACATAGAAATAGCAATCAATTAGTGTCAATTAAGACAACTGGACTCCTCTAATTAAGGAGTCTAGTCCAAACGGCTAGTCAAGACAGAATAAGGAAGGAAATCAGTTTAATAAGGCTGATTAGGGCAAGGAAACCATATAGTGCATAAACAAAGTCAAATACATAGTAGGTAATTAAGGAAAGTTGAAATAATAGTGTTTTTATAAAGTAAAATAGGGCATCAGTTCGAAAAATCAATCAAAAGGATCTTGGATCCAATTGTGATCACGAGGAATTTCAACTAAGTATAGAAATAATTCAAACTGGTATGGAATTACAGAAGAAATACACAAGATCGTGTATTTAAGGAAAACATCACAAGCATGGGGTTTTTACACAAAAGGACCAAGAAAACAGCCAGTAGGGTAAAGGAGATTCAATCGAAAGGAATCAGTGACGAATTACTAGCCTTATTAAAGGGATTTCAAAATCAATCACTTGGTTAGTGAAACCTTTTAAAAGAGGAGTTTTTCTCATATAAAAAGCATACAGCTTAAACAAAGAAAGAGTCTAACAATGGAAGTTTCAGAGCCACAAGCAAACAGGATTTCGAGTTTGATTACAGGCTCACAGTGAGTCTGGAAACTTAGGGTCCCAAAGTGAAACCCTAGTGCCACTTATCAAAGAAAATCCCCAAATCTTTAGGGTTTCAAATAGAATCAGGGGTGAGAAATCAAGGTCATTGAGAGAAGCAAACATACACAAACAAGTTCAGAAGAAATAGAGGCTACGAGTTTTAAACAAAGTAGGTAAACCCATGCAAGCAGGAACATAAACAAACTCAGTAACAAAATCGAAGAGCTCAAACTTAAACACGTATAGCAAAGAATGAGGAAAACAACACAAATTAATGTGTGAACAAAGAACAGACAAAGTCTTGCATAATCAGGAAAGAAACAAGAGAGAGCAAACTCGAGCATAATAAGAAATAAACATACAAGTATAAAACACACATAAAGAGAGAACAAAAGAGTCAGAAAACATTTAAAGAAACTTTTCCAGAAACCCTAAAAATCGAATTCGAACAATTTCGAAAGGGAAATTTGGGGGAAAATCTTAAAACGTCAAGTAAAGACCAGGCATGTCATAGATATGAAAGAAATAAGCAAGTATAGAAACTTAGAAGGCTTAAAAATGGCAGAGAAGACCCTAGAATGAGAAGGTCTTGAGGAAAGTCGGATCCTGAGTCGAAGAGACTCATATTGCTCGAACACGCCAGAAAATGGTCGGAGAGGCCATAGATCTTACAGATCTGAGACAGATCGAAAGAAAACCTTTGAAGTCAGGCCTCCAAACTTCAAGTAACTTAAGTTTAATGGTGAGAGAGAGTGAGCACAGGCCATCCGTGGCCAGGAATGCCATGGATTCCGGTGGAAACACGACAGAAGTAGGTGGAAAGTAGCTAGGGTTTAGGAGAGGTCTAGAGAGGATTTGGGAGATGAAGGCGACATCTTTGATACAAATGAGTTAGGGTTAGGGGGTATGGGAATTAAAAAAGGAAAGAACGAATCACGGCCGTTGATCAAAATGATCAACAGCCAGGATTAAAAGGGAAGCCGGGTGAGTCTGAAAACGGGTCACGGGGTCAGGTAAAAATTGAAATTGGGTTGTTTCAATTTGGGAAGAATTGGGGATCAATTTGAGGCTAAAATTAAAATAATAATGGGTTATGTGTTAAATAGCCTATTTCCCCCTTTTTATTTTATAAAAAATAGCTAAAATAATTTTAAAAACAAATTAAAAGTACTGAACTAATTAATAATATATAAAAATTAATCTAAAAATACTGGGAATGATTTTATAATTGTAAAATGATGTTAATCGTAAGATAGGCTATAATTGCAATTATATGCAATTCAGCTTTAAAAATACCAAATAAATTTGTAAAAATATGCAAAAATCACTTTAATCATATTTTGGTGTAAATATGAGAATGAAAATAAATTATTCACCAAAATAATAAATTTAGGAATAATTATTGGATTTTGCACTGCTAAAATAGACAATAAATTGATTTTACAAATCTTAAAAATTAGGAAAAAATACCAAAACTCTTGGACATGTTTATATATGCATGCACATGCTATTTTGAAAGTGTTTTGAGTATAAAAATACATAGGGAAAAATTGAGTATCAACACTTCCAGTATTGAGGGCCAATGGAACACAGATTTAACTCTATGGAGGGTAGCAGTGATGCCAGAATGACCTCCCAAATCAGAAGAATGCACATGTTGTACTAATTACTATCTCAAATTTTCTTGCTTACCAATCCAGGCCTTCCCTCTGAATCTAAGGATGCCTTGCTGCAATGTTACTTCAGTTGAAGCTACAGGATCAACTATAAGAGCACATACTATCTTAGTTACTTCCTCATCCTCTTCATAACTATTCATCTGGTTGCAAGTGTATTAGCATTTGACAAACAACATCAGCTTCTGTGGACATTTGCCTCCTCGAAAAGGCATCTGCTACTGAAATATCAATTCCTTTCTTGTAATGGATCTCAAAACTTAACCCCATCAATTTGGTCAAGCCTTTATGTTGTAAGGCAGTGGTGATTTTCTGTTCTTGTAAAAACTTAAGGCTAAAATGATCAGTCATTATAATGAAATGACTAGGATTAAGTAATGTCTCCATTTGTCAACATCATGTAACAAGGCAATCGACTCTTTCTCATATGTTGAGAGGCCTTGATGCTTCAGGATTAGTGCCTGACTAAGAAAGGCAATGGGCCTCCTATCTTGCATAAGAACAGCTCCCATACATGTGCCACAAGCATCCACTTCCACCACAAATGGTTTATTAAAATCAGGTAGGACCAAAACTAGGGCATTAGTCATTGCCTTCTTGAGTGCCTCAAAAGCTTCAATAGATTCATTATTCCAGTGGAAACCCCCTTTCTTCAACAATGTAATCAAGTGTTTACTAAGTGTAGCATAACCCTTAATAAACCTTCTATAATAACCAGTAAGGCCAAAAATCCTCTTAACTCTTTGATATTTGTAGGTAGGGGCCAACTAACCATTACTGCAATTTTGCTTGGATATGTACTAACACCTTCATCATTGATAATGTGACCAAGTTACTCTACTTGCGGCTGAGCAAAGTCATATATAGATCTCTTGGCAAAAAATTCGTGTTGCCTCAATAAGTCTAAGAGAATCTTAAAATGGTTCAAGTGCTCATCTAATGATAAACTATAGACTAGTATATCATCAAAAATGACTAAGATAAACCTCCTTAGATAGGCCCGAAAAACTTGATGCATCAAGGATTAAAAGGTGGCAAGTGTATTTGTTAAGACAAATGGCATAACCTTGAATTGACATAGTCCATGATATGTTTTAAAAGTTGTCGTATGCTCATATTCATAATTCATTCTTAGTTGATGATAGCCAAAACTAAGGCCTATCTTAGAGAAAATATTGGCTCTCTTCAACTCGTCTATTAAGTCCTCTACCATAGGAATATGGTACTTATTCTTGATTGTTAAAGAGTTTAACCTTATGTAATTCACACACAATCTCTAAGAGGACTCCTTCTTCTTTACTGGCAATGTAGGTGATGCAAAAGTAGACTAAATAAGTACCAGTGTTTGAGCTTGTAGCATATCCCCAACTATTTGTTCAATAGCACTCTTCTGATCATAGAAATATCTATAAGGCCTCAAACTGAAGGGTTGTGCTTCTGGAATTAAAGCGATGACATGATTACAATCCGTAGGTGGTGGCAGTCCTTTAAGTTCCTCCAAAACATCAACATATTTGTCTAACAATGCTGAAAATGATGGCGGTAAGTCCTTATTTCCCGAGTACAGATAGGGGGGTTGAGAACATACACCTCAACTATGCAATGGCAAGCCTTCTTAATCATCATTTTGATCATCTCTTCATTATCTATGGTTATCAACTCATGCCTTCTTGTTGCCCTTTTAGAGTAATGACCTGCCTTCTAGCACCAAATCACACCCACAAATTTGCAAAATTCTCACTTTAAAATAGAACAATTCTTCTTGCATCTTCCACAGAAATGCAGGGCAATAACTATCAGAATACAAGATATCTCCATTTACCACATCTACTTTCATGGACCTACCATAGAGAATCTTCTATAACGTCATTATCTTCACCACTTGAGGGTTCAAGAAACTATGCGTAGAGTCATTACCTACTAATATAATGATAGGTGTTTTCTTCACATAACCAGTTATTTTCAAAGTTGAGGGTGAACTTGTTAACCCCACGGCAACACACAGAGAAAGTGTTGCTTATTCCTCCTCAAGTACTTCTTCCCTGGCTTCCTCAAATACTTCCTCTTCTTTCGGAGGGTGAATGTACACATCCTCCACAACCTCAGTTCCCTCCACCATGCTCAGATTTTTAGGCTTGCATTGATGACCAGGGAAAAACAATTCATGGCATTTGAAGCACGAATTCTGTTTATTCAATACTTCAAGGGTAGAATCTGGTTTGAAGGGATCTTGGCCTCTTTGGGTGGGATAAGTGAGACTGAAAGGGTTGATTACGAGTTGTTTAGTGACTGTAGGAGCACGAAGCTGTTTAGTAGTAGGATAAGCGAGTTGAGGGTAATGTTTGGAGAAGGCAGGGTAAGTTTTAGGAATGATGAGTTTGGCTAAGTCTTGAAAGGATTTTTCGTGGAGCTTTGTAGTCTCAATCATCCATGAGGGAGGCAGGATTAGCAAGGATAACTAATGGTTTTAGTTCAGGCCGGAGGCCACTAACAAATCTCGATACAAAATGGTATCCATTCAATAAGGGGTTAATAATCAACATATAGCTCATAAGCTCCTCAAATTTCTCCTAAAACTGATCCACACTAGTAAGTTGTTGAATTTTGTTGAAAGCATCAACAATGTTCATGGATCTTATCTTTTCGAACCTTCGTCAAATCTCAGCACAAAACATGGACTATGAAATTTGACCCCGCCAGCTAGTAAGGTAGTTATTGAACCAAACATCAGCCCTATCTTTCATGTGAATGGTGATATAATCTAATTTCACTGACTCTGAATGTTATAAATACGAAAGAATTTCTTGCATTTCCTTAACCACCCTCTCGAATTTGTACCATCAAATTCTGGAAAATTGAGCTTAGCTTTAAGCAGATTACCATTTTGCGTGTGTTATATTGGGTTCACTCCTTGAATTGGTGGTGTTGTTGGGTTGGGGTAACAGAGGCGGGTTTGAAGAAGAGTCGGGTGTCTAAAAATTAGGATTAGGGTAAGGGTTGGTATAATGTGACGGGGGAGCTGGTGGAAATGTAAAACCACGACATATGCGTGTCGAACTTGGTGAGAAGAGTAACTGAGCTATCTGTTATGTCGTTGAGGTTAGCATAGGTAAGGTAGAAACAGAGGTACCTTATGTTTGGTTGGTTTCACGAGTAGACAGAGGTGTCTGTGGTTGAGGTGAAAGGGAAACTGAATCTGACCTCCTCTTAACGTCTAAGCTCGCCAGAATAATTTCCAATTTTTTATTTGTGTCCATTTCCAACTGTCGATTCCTCTCTTGGGTGTCTTGAAATAAGAAAAAACTTGAGTTTGTCGACTTTCAAGAGCTTCGAATCGCTTTGTCATATCTGACATAAATGATTAGAGCTGAGTTTTAATTTCATTGGTGCCATGTGTTAACCCTAGAATCTCTGGATCTGGAGGCATGATGACCACGATTTTCAGAGCCTAATCGACTCTGATACCAATGTAACAAATGTTAAGCTCAACTGAGCTTAAGGGTGTTAAACGGGCTGGGTTGGACCGGTTCCGGACCGGCCCAGACCGGTATAACCCGAAACCAGCCCGGACCGATAATAGGGGGCTGGGATGGGATGGGTAGGGGGTTTGGAGGGTTTGCACGGTTCATCTGGCCCAAACGGGTAACCGGAACCGGTTGAACCCGGTAGAGTGAACACTAACTCTTACCGGGTTAACCGGCCCGGACCAGCCCGGTTCAAACGGCTAGTTTTTTTTTAATTTTTCTGACTTGTGGGCCCCACAGACCGTTGGCAACAGTCAGACCATGTTTTGGTCGGTTAGCCAACGGAAAAATTGCACAAATAGTCTTTTTTTTAACCCTTTTCCAATTTACAAAACTAACCTTCTCTAAAACTATAAATACCCATCCCCTCTCTTCTTCATTTCTTCACTCATTACTCATTTCTCAATCTCAATTTCTCTCATTCTCCAATTTGCAAGAATTCAAGTCTTCAATCTAATTTTATTTGGCTCTCTTTTCTTGAATTTAACTTATCGTGTTTTGTCATTCGGAATTTGAAGTTTGAACTTTGAACTATTGAAGTTCAAAATTGAAATATTTTCTTGACATTTGTTCGTGGTAACCTCGGGATTGCCTAATCAAGTGCTCAATTTATTGGCGAATTTGGTGCACTCCCTCCAACTCTTTCTCTTATTTACTATTTTAATTGCATATTTAATTTTAGCTTATACTTTAATTTTTACAATATGTTTAATGCTGCTAAAAGAGCGTGTAAAAGAGTTACTGGTAGGGGAAATAAAAAAAGAGATAGTCCTTCAGCATCTGGTAGTAATAGTAATAACCCATTATCATTTACACATGTTTCTGAATCATCGCCTAATGATAATTTAGATATAGATTATGAACAATTACAAGAAGATTTTGGAATAGAAGATAATGAAATAGGAATAGAAGATGAGATACCAGCTACACCTACTAGTGTTGGAGTTGGTAGTATTGGGGTTGCTACAAGGGGTGGTGGTCGTGGCACTAGAAGTAGACCACCTGTGGCTCCGACTACTAATCGTAGAAAAAGAAGTAAGGTTTGGAATATTTTTGAAATAATAGAAGGTACTGAGAGAGTTAAATGCAAACTTTGTAAAGGTGATTTTAAACATTTGACTGGAGGAAATTTAGGGGGGACTGGGACGCTTAGTAGACATATGAGAACTGAGTATCCCATAGAATGGGGCGCTGATGATGATGGAAAACAAACAACTCTTAACCCTACTACTGGAGGTCTAGTGAAATATGATAAAATGAAGGATCGTGAGGAGTTAGCAAAAATGATTGCTTTGGGTTGTCTACCTTTTTCTTTTGCTTCTTCATCATATCTTATTATGTATATTCAAAGGATTTACAATCCTTTATTTAAAGGTATCCCTAGAAGTACTTGTAGAGCTGATATATTTAGACTTCATGGACAATATCAAACATACATACGTTATTTGTTTAGCCACCTTCCTTGTAGAGTTTCTCTAACTTCTGATATTGGCCATGCTGTTAATGAAAATGATTATTTGACAATTACATGTCATTGGATAGATGATACTACTTGTATGCAAAAACGTATTATCGCTTTTAGATATGATGAAGATCAGAGTCATACTGCTGCGTTTATAAGTAGTACTATTTGTGAAGTTGTTGAATTTTATAATCTCAAGCAAAAAGTATTGTGTATGTCTTTTGATAATGCTTCTAACAATAATGCCGCAATTTCAATATTAAAACTGCATTTGCAACCACCTCTTGAGGAAATTTTTCATGTTAGGTGTGCATGTCATGTTTATAATTTAATTGTTAAAAGTGGCCTTGATTTATTTTCAACTGAGATTACTCATGTTAGAAGAGCAGTTGGTGTTATTCAAGGAAATAATAGACAATCTAGAATAAAGGAATTTAAGAATAAGTGTGTCCAGTATAACCTTAAACCCAGATTCATGCCAGACGAAATTGTTACTAGATGGAATTATACATATATATTTTTAAAATGTTGCTACAAATATAGATTCCCAATAACTGAAGTTGCTAATGCGCATTGTACTGATCCAAACCGTATGCTAACAAGTGGTACTTGGGAGGTCATTAATGATGTTGTTAAATTTTTACATAAATTTTATACAGCTACTGTTGAGTTTTCTGGAGCATATTACCCTACTGTTACTATGGCTTTAGTACATATAGCTGAAATTTCTTTTCTACTCTTTGAATTTAAGAAGAAAGAAAAATATAGGGATGTTGTTGAAAAAATGCAAGCAAAATTCAAAAAATATTTCTTTCCAATTCCTCCGATTTACTTAATTGGTGCTGTTTTAAATCCTTCTATTAAGATGTCTGATTGTCACCAATTAATGAATGCTTTATATACTTATATGGAGATTGGACCAACTGAAACCCCAGATTTATATACTTGTATGAACAAGCTAAATGAATATTTACAACAATTATATAATTATTATGCAAATGTAATTGATGATGCTGCTCTTAATGTAGGCAATGTTAATCCAACTATGCACTGTACCACTTCTGCTACTGTGGATGATGAAGAAGGCCTTGATAGTTTTAATATTTTTTCTACATTTTCTAACACTCAAACCAGTAGCAGGAACATTGATGAACTTCAATTCTACTTGCAGAAGCAAAAAGAGCCTCGCACAAAGGAATTTTCACCGTTGGGATGGTGGCATGAGAATGGAAAGCAATTTCCTGTTCTTTTCGCTATGGCTCGGGACGTGCTGAATGTACCAATTTCTACTGTTGCATCGGAGAGTGCATTTAGCCAAGCAAGACAACAACTTGGAGACACCCGCCACTCATTGGGAAGCAATGCTTTGGAAGTTTTAGTATGTTTCAGAGATTGGATTAGATCGGAACGAAGAAATCAAGGACGTGAAGATGTTGATAGCCCAGAAGACGAGGAACTTGGAGATATATTAACACATGGAAGCTCATCCGAATTTAACACTCCAGAAGAAGGTCAATCGGTTCATATTGATTATGATGAACTTATTAAGGCAATGCAAAACCTTTGAATTTACTATTTTACTTGTTGAAAAAAATGTAAACCTTTCAATTTGTAAGTTTGAAGCTTTGAAATTTGAATTAAGAAATAAAAGTAGCACTTGCAATAAGTGCATTATTTTCACATCTTCCTTGTATTCTTTATGTTAGTACTTTGTAATGCACTTATTGCACTTATTACAATATTTATATAAAATTCCAAAAAAAAAAAAAAATTACACTAAACCCGGCCCGGTCCTCTCAACCTGTAACCCGTACGGTTTAGTTTTTACCCGGTTGAACCAGAACCCGTTAAACCCGTTAAGAACCAATCCGGAACCGGCCCGGACCGTAACCCGTACGGGTCCAAAAAAGGGAGGCCCGAACCGGCCCGGTTAGCCCGTTAAACACCCATAACTGAGCTCAACAATGGTGAATAACTTTGGAAAGAACAGAATATCAAGAAGGAAAGAAAAGAAAATAGAGTACAAGAGAGAGAAGCAGAGAAAAGAGGAAAATATAGGATATTCATTTAGCATACTCTCCCATTCTGTTTCTACTCGTACAAATACAACTAGGAATGCAAATACTGCTAACA